AATTTCATATTAAAGTTTGCACCGTTTCATCATTGAGATGACGTGAAAACATGCATTTTTTAAACTTTAGTCTAAAAATTAAAAAATTAAAATATTTATCTATACAATCTTAATCTAACGTCAAAACCACTATTTTTTAGTTGGTTATTCGAGTAGTTCGTTTCAGCTCATAATAACGGGTACATGTATACTTTTGAATAATAAAGTGATGATTTTTATACAATATGTATTAATTGTAATGTATGTGGTAAGGTGGTAAGTAATGTTTTTAGTTCTGAGACCTATATCTCTATCCTAGAAGATAAAAAAGATCATACTTCGAGTATATTCAAGCGTTCAATAATCATAGTAAATTTTAATCAAAGCCTCCTAAGCGAAACCGCTAAACATTTAGAAACGCTTACACATACGGCAACACCGTATAGCGGCTTCAAATAAAAATAAAATAGGGTGAATATGCCAGTGGTCGGACAGTTTAGAAAAAGCTGAATTGTTGATAATAGTGTTGTTTTGTCAATAGTCGGACAGTGCTTGCCATTGTCCGGCCGGGAGGTTACATAAGTCGGACACTTTGTGATTGGCGATTGTGCATAGTCCCTTATTTAATATATGTATAATTATAAAGCAAATTTAATCTTTAACAATATATACCGTTTATCGTTGTGTGTTATCTATATGAAAAAATAATCTTTAAAGATCGCGCACACTATACCTGCACGGACCGGCACGGACCAGACCAGTAAAATCTACCGGTGAAGGTGAACGTGTTATTTAATAGAGTAGAGCACACTAGACCAGTACCAGCACGTACCGCCACAAGCCACGACCGTCAAAACAGGTCGTGTCGGTCAGGGACAAATATGACCGGCAATATTTATGCCTGGTCGTGCTGGTCCGACCTAATGTGCGCACCGGCGAACCAGCACACCTCCACAAACATGCAAATATTGAAGGGTTTGTCAGTATTTCGAGTACGCTAGCTGGCTCAAGTTGCATGATGTAGGTTAGATTTCGTTTATTTTTGTTCGAACCTTTAAATCGTTTTAAATATGAATGAAAAAAAGCTTATTTTACTGGTACAAAAGTATTCAGAGCTGTGCGATACGAGCCAAGCATTTTATATATAGAGACCAAGAAAGAAAAGATGCAATATGGGAGTCGATAGCAAAAAAAAATAATTAAATTTGATTTGTGACATTCGAAAATATTGGAAAAACTTTTCTTCGAATCTTTTTAATTCAGGAAACAAATGATGAAATTCGCCATATTGCTTTCTCTTTTGATTTATAGGGTGAACCCAAAATCTTCTTTTTTTCTTAGCTTCCTTCTCTTCCTCCTCTTCTTCACACAACATGGCTAAAATAATAATTTCTTCCTCTGAACTACTCATTTTCAATACTTCTAAGTTGCACGCTCTAGTAGTTGAGCCAAGTGTGCGATGTCATGCAGGATGCAGGTTTGTGCTGTGCTGGTCCGTACTGGTCCGTGTAGGTATAGTGTGCGCGATCTTTTAAACGATACCAACGCGGTTCATAAAACCATGCTTCCATTAGTAAACAGCGATTTCAATTTTTCTTCTTCTAGATAAAATTTTTTCAGCTGCGTGATAAGTAACACTTGTTTTTTTTATTGGAAATCCGCAAACGGCTAAGTTCTCAATCCAGGTAACATTTTTTTCAATTTCTCTGGTTAAAACAAGTCCTGGTTCCATTAGTTTGCAAACGTCGCTTATTTGTCTTTAATACGGTCCTGTACTGTTGACTTGGAACCCTGTACTGACTGCATGTTTTACGCGATTTTCCTTCTTCTCGGACAGTTCGGACTGTTTTTTCTAATGCATCTTTATTGTATTGATGAAAACACACTTTTACTTTAGGGTTCATGTTTGAAAATAACCAAAATCTCATAAAAAATCAGTCTGAATCTGAACTCTGCAATATGACGTCGAAAAAGGGCCACTGTCTGACAGTCCGACCTCTCAAATATATTAAATTTAGCGTTGACTAGTGGTCGGACAACTTTTATTTCCTTTGATCTGCATTTGTGTTGAGTTTTTGCTGTGCGACCACTAAACACTACCAAAAACTAATGTTTAAATTATATTTGAAAAGTAGTAGATTATCAAGAAAAAGACTAAAACAAAAGAGTTATTTTTCCATTTGTCGGGCACTTGTCCGACTACTCTGGACTTAAACCAAAATTATATTATCGGACACCTAAATTAAACATTAAAATATTAAAAAGTATCCTTTTTTGTTGTTTGAAATAAAAGTTTAGACTATATTCTACATACACGTAAAGTTATAAGTATTTCATAAATTAGATACAAAATTTTTAACTTACCTTACAAACTATCTCACCTCCATCTTTAACAGGCAAAAATTAGGAAGCACAAACATGTAGTCACTTTTCCGAGTTTTTAACGGTTTCAGGGTGACAATTTAGACAAAGAAAATGTTGTAGAGCAAAGCGGAAGAATTGGCAGAATTGGCAGGCTTTTAATTATTTGAAGCAATACTAAAGCGGCCCATACATTATCAAACAAATTGCGCAACACAGGCTGTTGCGCAACGAGTTGCCAATGTATGGCCCTGCGTTTTTAAGAATGTTTTAATTCTTTTGTGCAACGGAACTGTTTGCGCAACGCGTTGTGTAGTGTATGCGTGTGTTGCGCTTCGTTGTGCAATATTTTAGTTGCCATCAGTCGGTTTTTTTAGCGGGACGTCCCTTTGTTTCTCGAACAATGCACAACTTTTAATAAAAAGTTTGACCAAAATGTTACCAAGTGTATAGGTGATGATGGAGTTGTGCAACGCCACGTTGCGCATCGCTTTGTTGCGCAATTTGTTTGATAATGTATGGGCCGCTTAAGTTATATTTTTAACTTATTTCCAAGTAAGTACGTTTCGTCCGACAACTGGTGTATGTCCAGCTACTGGCATATTCACCCTACTATACCGGGCGCGTCTCAGAAGTGGCTCACACTTATAACTTAATAAAAAAACGAGATTTGGTACGTTAGTATATGACATAAATTAGGATTGATTGACGAATTCAGTTGTTTTTGGTCACTTCCTGTTTCACCAGAAATCACTACAACTTTTGATTTTTGCACATAATGCACAGTGAGTGCGGCTATATTATTTGCTGTATTCCGTTGGGATTATCCACACTCCAATGATCAGATCAACCAAAAGGTCAACCTCATTTTTTGGAGATTCACAGTATGTTAAAAACAAAATAAAAATAGTGTGTTGATTATATCTAATAACAGATAAAACCATGGTCTCGTCACAAAAAATCTCGTTGATTACCTAGAATCAGTTAGGAAACAAGCATTTTAGACTCAAAATTTATTTTAGGGGTATTTTAAGAAGTATATAGTAACAGTTGGTTGATAAAATCTGTTTTTCCAAGGCTCCTTGATTAAAGGAGCCATGCGGCATTCTAGATTGAAATTTAAAATACGATTTGTCTGTTGAAAATGTCTTCTTTGTCTTTGTCTGTTGAAAATGTCAAAAGTTGACATATGATATGTCATATGTCATTCTATTCAAAGTGTCATTTTCTATCGAATATAGTAAAAATAAAACGAAGAGGGTGCCATTTTTAGCCATTTGCCGTTTAGCGAGGGTGCCGATATAGCCATTTCCGGTGAAACAGGAAGTGATCAAAGACAACTGAATACGTCAATCAATGTTAATGTCATATACAGTGCATATACTAACGTACCAAATCTGTTTTTTTAAGTGAAAAGATAAAAAGTTATAGGGGTGAGCGGATGAGCCACTTTTGAGACGCACCCGGTATGCAGCATTTTATGCTAAATCCAACTCTGTAGGTACATAAAAATCGGGATTGCAAAAAAATAGAACTTTATCATTACATATTTTTTGGAACACCCTGTATGCAACAAAATATTTTAAGGATACGCACCTTTATACACGCCATGCGATATTTATATAAAACTTTTAAACTTTATATCTTTAATAAAAATGAAAATATTGGACTTTCTCGCACTATTGGACCATCCTGTATACCTACTTAGCACTACTTAGCAGATTTATTTTAACCTTTTATTTATAAACATCGCTGCAAAAGAATTTAAAAATAAAATATTCTTACTGTACAGTTCTCTCTGTTTGTTTATTTAGTGCTCTACTGTAATGGAATTAGAATCCATGAAATCTCCATTTTTCCGATTTTTTAAAATACTATACCTAATCTATTTCCATCGAGACAGACATCTTAATGGCATTCTTTTTCTTTTGTTCCCATTGTTATTTCATGTAAGATGTTGGCAAATAATAGCGACAAACTATTTCGAACTAGAATTAAGGAAGTCATAAAATCATCGAAAGTGGATTGTTTCGTAAGACAAATGTGATCTGATTCTCTGATCTGATGCTACGCTTGAAAAATGTGAAATTCTTCGGCTTCTCCAGCTTTTCTTCTGGAATCGTAGGTACCAGATGTACGAATTATTTTATTTAAAATGTGCACTGAGGCGCCATCTGTTGGCGGAGCTTTAAACCTCTCTTTGCAATTGCAAAAGAATTCTATAATAGTACTGTATCTGGTTCCATACTTCACTTCCGCTTGTAAATATCGATTTTCAAGCCTACAATCCTGATTTATAAAATCCTTAGATTATATTACTAAAATCAAGAGAGATATATTCACAAAGAGTCAATTAAATTTAAAAATGACTTAGCCATGTATTATTTAGTTATCATTTTTTTTATATTTTAATTCTTTATATGTGCTTACAAAAAAATTAAAAAAAATTTTGGTGCCATCTGTCTTTTAGTAGCTCATACGTTTCAAATTAAAACAATAAACATCTATCTTTATTAAAATAAATCTACCCTAACGGAACTAAAAACCCCGCCTTATAAAGTAGTATTCCTCTAATGAAGTTTATCATAATAATTCTATTATTTTAAATGACAGGCAAAAATATCGTTTTAATTGCGAACATTTATTACGTGTATGGTATACAGATGACGTAGTCTGACGTTTTAATAAGAGCTATTTTTGAATTCAGTGAGTAACGATTTAAAATTTAACTCATCTGTCAAATCTCGCGTAGGAATATTCGTAGGAACCGTTTCGTTCCTTCCCGCAAAAGATCTGTCAGTTGAATCATCTTACATGTGGTGTTCGCCGGTATTTTTCTAGTAAAATCGCGTAATATCGTAAATAAGTTTAACTAAGAAGGTCACAAATACATACACGATGCACCAAGAAGCTATTCAACTTATACAAGTATTAGAAAAGACCATATCACCGGGTAAGTACAAAGTTGATGTTCGTCAGGTTGCCAATTAACTTTCGTGTCATTTCCATTTTATCCTTGTTTATCAGTAAAATGCTATGGAAAGTACACTTCTAATTATGATGAACATTATTTATATCGGTTTACTATAAACATGATAACCTTCAATCGATTTGAGGTCAGCAGCCTATAAACCATCCCTGCCAATCTGCTTAGGGCTTGTGGAAGAAAGAGGATCACATCTATAACAATATATCTGGAAAGTTTAAGAAGACTGGACAATATCATTGCTGTTCATTTTTAACTCTCTTAATTATCCTTGTTTTCCTGTTCTATTCTTTATAATTTATCATTTTAACATTTCCAAGTCAGTGTATACAAAATATCTTATGATTTTTCTTAATATTTGTGGTGTAGATATAATTCATATTCACGTTTTGATATTATAGATAAAAATGAATTGGAACAAGCTTCAACATTCCTTGAACAAGCAGCAGCAACAAATGTGTTAGGTTTTATTAAAACATTGTCGGATATTTTGAGACATGGAGGTAATAGCCCTGTCGCCCGAATGGCTGCAGGTCTGCAGCTTAAAAATCATCTTACATCCAAAGATCCAAATATTAAAGTGCAATATCAACAAAGATGGTTGTCTTTTCCTGAAGACATCAGATCATACATTAAGAAGAATGTAAGTAATCACGAAATCTAATGAAGTTCATTGTTAATAAGGATATTTTTTAAGGTGGTCGGTGCATTAGGAACAGAAACAAATCGTCCTTCTTCAGCGGCTCAATGTGTTGCATATATAGCAGTTACTGAATTGCCTCAGAGACAATGGCCAGATCTTATTAGTACATTAGTTAATAATATACTGAATGCAACATCTGAAATGCAGAAAGAAGCAACATTGGAAACTATCGGATATATTTGTCAAGTAAGAATATTAACGTCATTATAAGATATTGGAATTATTATTGAATTTTTTAGGAAATTGACTGTGACGTACTGGTATCTCAATCAAATGATATTCTAACTGCTATAGTACATGGAATGAGAGTGACAGAAACTAGTAGTCATGTTCGATTAGCTGCTACACAAGCTCTCCTCAATTCGTTGGAATTTACTAAAGCAAATTTTGAACAACCCACTGAGAGGAACTATATCATGGAAGTTGTTTGTGAAGCCACACAATCAGCTGATACTCAAATTAAAGTAAACTTGTTTTTGTAACAATAAAATATACTATTTATTTGTAATGTGTTTATTGTAGGTCGCTGCTCTACAATGTTTAGTAAAAATTATGTCACTCTACTACCAACACATGGAGACATATATGGCACCTGCTTTATTTCCCATAACTTTGGAAGCTATGAAATCAGAAAATGATGCTGTTGCTTTACAAGGAATAGAATTTTGGTCGAACGTAAGTGATGAGGAAGTTGACTTAGCAATTGAAGATACTGAAGCTCAGGAAGCTGGCAGGCCACCTTCTAGGTATGTGGTATTTTATTTCTTCTTAAAAAATGCATTCAGTATTGCATTTTTATATTCTATGTGTTTTATATTCAAGTTCTGGAGTATCAGTGACAAAATATATTATTTTTTATTCCTCAATATTCACATCTAATGTTATTGTATGATTCTAATTTGCCAATTCTAATATGTACAGGGTATCATTTTTTATCCATTGTTCCAAAATGTATAGTATGGCACTCACAGTCACAGTGCACATTTTCAAAATATTTTAGTTAGTATACCTGCTTACAGTGTGACAAACTTATTTCTAAACTTAAATTGTAATCTTTTAAGTAGATTGCTGCATTCTCTTTTACTCAATGGTTTTTATCAAAGAAAATTAATTCCAAAAATATTTCAGTGTTTCTATAAATATAAACAAAAATTAAATTCAAAGCAAACAAAACAATAACAGTTAACTGGCTTTGCAAATCCGTAAAACATGATAAGATAAAACTTGAAAACATAGATATAAATGTGAGTGAAGATGCAACATATTTAGTGTCCTAAATGAATAGTTTCATTGGTCTCTCAAAATTATTGACAAAAACATTTTTGAAATATGTACTACCACTATCTTCACATTTAGGGAAATAAGTTAGTATTAAATAGTATTTTAGAGGTCATGCAAAATAAAAACCATTGCACGCCATCGAATACACTAATAAATGTGTGCAGTGCTGCCACAATTTTACTGCTCAATTTTGTGTTGGCAAAGCAAAGGAAGCGGTTGTAGCAGTGCCATGTTTATTTGACATTTGCCAGCATTTTCTGAAAGATTTAGTATATTTCTTAACTTTGAATGTCATCTACAGAATATAGTTAACGAGTATAAAACAAGCGTTTTAAACAATAAAAAACACGTTTTGTTAAAAATTGTTCAGCCCTGCCTGAAACTGTTTAAAGCTGTTATCAATTTAAAGTTTATTTAGCATCTTTAATAGATCTTATGTATTGTAAATGTTTCAAAAATATTTTCTTTCTCCGACAATCTGGCAACAACGCTGTCTAAAATGTATGCATGTGCTCGATGACGTGCAACGGTTTTTAATTTGTATGACGTTTATGTGCACTTCTAATGAGATAAATGTTTGAAAAAGTTAAAAAAAAACAGACTCTACAAAATCAAACAGCAATAATAAAAAATACATTATTTCTAAATAAATAGGCTTATATCTGGTGGTCATATTTTATACAGGCAGACATTACTATTTTAATGATGAAATATACATACTAGTGTATAAGTTCTATAAAAACTAAATATAAATAAGAATTTTAGAGGTGAAATTGTATTTAATATTGCATAATAATTCAGAACGATAGGGAGCAACGGCCCAGCTACGTCGAAACACCGGTTCTTGATAGATGACCCAAGTTAAGCGACGTTAAACGATGCGAGTTGATGGCCGGGTGATCGTCTTAAGCCGCGTCCAAGCTACTCGAACAAAATGTTCGCGAACATATATAATTAAACAGATACTAAGTGAAAATTGTGAGATAGGTAGATTTATAAATAATAAAGCCAACAAGTACAGCTAGCTTAGGCCTATTAAGGAGCGCGGAGCGCCGAACGGCTAGCTTGTACGCCAGAGCGTGCGTCTGCCTATGCTAGAGCGCGCGCGTTCTTTTTCCGACGGGTGTCGGTAAATCAAAAGGAGCGAACGGCGTGCATTTCGGCGGACATTGTACCGAGCACTTGGAAGAGTCTCATTTAATTTCGGGCGTCTATCTGTGATTTTTATTTTTTACCGAGTATTCGACAATGGGAGACGCAGTTATTGACTGAAATCGTGAAAAATTTAAAACTAATTTGTTTACACAAAGAAAAGATTTTATAATTTTAGTTTTATTGTGGGTTGAGTGTGAATAGCTATGTAGATAGACTTCGTCCATATAATTTCATTTTTGTTACTAAAGACCTTTTTGATTATTTTTATTAAAAACCGGAATTATTATGGGATTCTGAATTTAAAAATTACTACTTAATAGGAAGTTTGACACCGGAAATGAAATTTTACCATTACATTTTTAGAAATAAATATACCGGGTGTTTCGGAAAAGTGGTTCACTTCTATAACTTTTTAATTTTTAGATAAAAACGAGATTTGGTATGTTAGTATAGGACATAAATCAGGATTGATCGACGTTTTCATTTATTTTCGGTCACTACCTATTTCACCGGAAATGACAACTACTTTTGATTTAAATGGTACCCTCGGTATTTTTTTACCGTATATGATATAAAAGGACGTTCTAAATAGAATGATAATTTATATAACGACTTAAAAATGGCCATAAATAAACGTAACAACAATTTTACTCCAAATACCAAGTATGTGGTAAGTATGTGGCAAATTATTCGTAAAAAATGCTTTTTCCAAATATGCTGAGCCAGCCTCGTACCATTTGAAAAATTTGAGTTACCATTAAAAATACGATTTGGGCATCTTTTAAGCGGCCATGAAAGGATACGAAAAAAAATTACATGATCAAATATATGTTTCCAAAGTTCTTTGATTACAAATTAATAGTTTTAACTCAGTCTTGGCACTCTAGATTGAAATTTAAAATGCTATTTTTATTTAATTGGAATTGTCTAAAACGTATCTAAAACGTGACGTATGGTATGTCATTCTATTCAGAATGTCATTTTCTATCAAATAAAGTAAAAAAGTACTTAGGATACAGTATAAAAATACAAAGTTGTAGTCATTTCCGGTGAAACAGGAAGCGACCAAAGGTAATTGAATACGTCAATCAATCCCGATTTATGTCATATACTAACAAACCAAATTTTGTTGTATTATCTGAAAAAATAAAAAGTAAAAAAGTGAGGCCCTTTTGAGAAACACCTGGTAGAATCGACTGAAAATGAATACAGGTCTTAAAAATACACTATAACGAATAATCTACCAAAAGACCCCTGTAACCCTCCGCCTGCTAAATATTGATTCTTAACGACAAAAGTTCTTAAACTGTTTACCGGTTAATTTATTTAATAAAATGCTTGCACTCGAAATCCGCGCACTCGAAAAAACAGCGACTACCTAAACGCATCCTAGATCTATAGAGCAAACTGGTTGTCGCATTCTTCCCCGCACCTCAGTCCTCGGGACCGATGCGATGGGCTGTGCCGTCGTTTACGACCTGCTGCTACGCGTATATAGTGTGAATTATATATGTTCGCGAACGTTTTGTTCGAGTAGCTTGAACGCGGCTTTATGTACATTAATACATCTGATCTTTTTAAACTAATCATAACTTTTTTTAGAAACAGGTATGATAAAACAGTTTCTATTGAACCTTTTAACACAAAAAATCCAAATTTATTATGTCAGTCCAATAACTATCTTATCAACATTTTTTGAAGTGAAACTTTTTTACGCGCGCTGGGAGTAAAAAATCAAGGCCGTGTCACACGAGCTAGCGAGACACAGTCTACAGCAAAAAAACTATTTTTTACGTGTAAAAAAACTATTTGAAATACGAAAAAATCTATTTTTTACGCTTAAAAAATATTTTTTTAATTTATTACTTTTTCAACATTTCAAACAACGCTTTTTAAAACATGTCCTTCAAATCTTACAATTTAATAGCAGTTAGTAAGAAGTTTCACTTCAGATATGCGCACATAATACCCACACAATTCTTTTTATTTTTGGTCCTTGATGACATGTACTGATTGACTGTTACCTGTTACCATGAAACCCCCTTTTTGCATAAAAACGGCGGAAATGTATATTTATTTTCCCTTATTAGTTTAACTGCTATTCGGAACTCGCTATTGCATACTATTTAAAACAAAATAAAGTTTTTTCTTGATAGCACAATGTAACTTTTATACTTAAAAATAGCCATGTAGTTCCAAAGATTATTTTAAAATATTTTTTGTATACAGAGTCTCGCGTCATTATGCAAAAGGAGCTTTACAGTTTATTGTGCCGATTTTATTACAAAAATTAACAAAACAGGAAGAACTTGATGATGAGGACGATTGGAATCCTAGTAAAGCAGCTGGAGTATGTTTAATGCTTTTAGCTACATGTTGCGAGGATGAGATTGTTCCCCATGTTTTGCCATTCATTAAAGGTTTGCACAAAATATTTCCATTTATTTTTGGGTTTGACAATTTCTATTTATTTCTGTTGATTATAGATAATATCAAGTCAGATAATTGGAGATTTAGAGATGCCTCTTTAATGGCGTTTGGGTCAATCCTTGGCGGACTAGAAAGTAATACTCTAAAACCACTGGTTGAACAAGCTGTACCCACTCTAATTGAGCTTATGTATGATAGCAGCGTAATGGTACAGTGTAGTGCATTTTTATAATTCTAAAGGAGTATTTGCATCCCATCATTTTTAGGTTCGCGATACTGCAGCGTGGACATTCGGTCGTATATGTGAAATCATACCTGATGTGGCAATAAACGAAACATTCTTGAAACCACTCTTGGAAAGTTTAATTACAGGACTGAAAGCTGAACCCCGAGTAGCTGCCAATGTTTGCTGGGCTTTCTCAGGTACTTATATAGAAATATATAATATACAGGGTGATTTACGGCTATGATCATTAACCAAGACGGTTATGGAGAACCAGTTATAGGATTTTTTAAAAATTTTAGAAATTTATAGGTTTTTTGCATAAAGGCACCTGCTGCATCTGTCTAAATTATTTTCAGCGTTACAGTGTTGCCGCTGCATACTAAAAGTGGTAGCATTTTGGTATATTATTACATATTTCGTAACTACTTTCATATCTCATAATTTTTCTATTATACTAACCTATACCTATCTAACGGTTTTTGAGATAAAAAAATAAAACGTGTAAAATTGACAAAAACATGATCTCAAATAAGCGCTGGTCAAATCATAAATTGGGCACATTGAAAGCTGAAATTTGGTTTATAGGTTAAGGAAAGTCGACTTATTCGTCTGTCTAAATCAACCGATTAGATATCAAATGGGGAGATCAAAAAATATTTATTTTCGTTTGTTATAAAATCGCTTAAATCATTGTTATTTGAAATTTAAGTTTGTGTATATTATTTAAAAAATAGTTAAGCTATTTAAAAGATAATCATTCAATTATAATTGTGACATTTAAAGAAAGTGCTTATCATGACAAATATTCAAACTGTATTTGTATCAATTAAACTTTATATTTGCTAAATTTCTAAAATTGTCATGTCAACGAAATTCTTGAAATGAAACTATAATAGAATTATTAACTTTGAAATATGACTTAAAAAAATTGGAAGGTTTAGGTATAATAGGAACATGATTAGTGATGGGATAACTCGAGCGAAAATTCGCTCGAGTACTCGATTATTGAAATAACCGACATCGCTCGATTATGAACGAGCGATGCAAGTGACGAGTACCAAGCAACGAACGCAAGCGATCCTAGGATGATATAAATTGAAATGTGACATACTCGATAAAAAGCCGAGCGAATTTTCTACATACATTGCAGGTAGCAAATTTATACGACGCCGTATATATATTTATCCGTTGCTTATCTGAGGAACAAAATTTTACGACCTATATCGACAATGCTTCAAAGTACAAGAGTACTTAAAGCGACGGGTGAAAACCGTATTTTAAATACAAGTGATATTTCGCTCGAGCGATCACTGGGTTATTGCAATCGCTTGAAACTCGAGTACTCTGTGTAATATTCAATAGGTTGATTTAGACAGATCGGATATATCGACTTTCGTTAACTTATAACCCAAAATTCTGCTTTAAAAATGTCCAATTCATGATTTTACCAGTGCTTATTCAAGATCGTGTTTTAGTCATTTTAACAGATATTTTATTTTTATCACAAAAACTACAACAGATAGGTATAGGTTAATATAATATAAAAATTATGAAATATGAAAATAGTTTCCAAAAATGTAATAATATCCTGGGTGTTTGGTTCCATTTAAAATAACAAAGATGCTGCAACTTTTCAAATGATCTGTCAACACTGTAACGCTGATAATATTTTAGATATATGGAGCAGGTGCCTTTATGTAAAAATCCGAATTATCAAGAAAATCCTATCACCGTTTCTCCATAAACGTCTAACGTATCATAGTCGTGAATCACCCTATATAATAGATATACTAAACTAATCTAATTCATTTTTAACATATTTTTAAAGGTCTGGCGGAGGCGGCGTATGAAGCGGCAACCTGCGATCTAGTTGGAGAAGAAACCACTCCCGAAACATACTGTTTGTCACCATTCTTCGAATTTATTGTTCAGAGGTTAATAGTAGAGTTTTCTAATTGAATGAAATATTAAAAGTGTATTTACAGATTATTAGAAGCTACTGATAGGCCTGACGGAGCTCAAGCCAATCTCCGACCTGCTGCATACGAAGCTTTAATGGAAATGATTAAAAATTCGCCTAGGGATTGCTATGTAACTGTACAAAAAACTACTATGGTTATTTTGGATAGACTGCAGCAGGTAAGGGCGAGTAGTTCAAATGGACTATAGAAGGTAAACAGATCATTAACGTACTAATATTTAGGTACTTCAGATGGAATCACAAATCAGTAGTCACAGCGACCGTTCGCAGTTCAACGATTTGCAATCCTTGCTATGTGGTACTTTGCAGTCAGTTTTGAGAAAGGTTACACCAGAGGACGCTCCTCAAATTTCAGATGCGGTGAGTGATCTATTTAAGTATACTAAGGGCTGGCAAAGGTTAGCTTTGGGTCGATATTTCCGTATGTAAGAAGAGTATGATGCGATTGTAATGTACCGAATAAAGAGAGAACATTAAAAACGTTGCCAAACGTATGAAATAAACCGAGAGTCTGTTCACATTGCTAAGAGACGTGAGACGTGGAATAGGATTCGTCACAACAGATTCGTCGCGGTCAACCGGTAGACCCAATCAGTACTTAAAATTCTAGAGAAGGGTGATTATCATGCATTCAGCTTTACAATTTAATTACGTGTCGTGATACTTTATTTGTTTATTTATTAACGAGTCGTTGTAATTTTCTCTGTAGTTTGTAAATTTTTAAGTGCAAGTTAGAAACACTTGCACTTTTGGTAAAAATAAGTGGAATTGAGTTGATGTTCGACAGTGGTCGCGCTATTAGAACTCAAAAATCGATATTTCAAAATTCATTAGAAACGATTGATTGTAGTGTTTTCAAAAACTTTCTTAATATTTCTGCTATATTTTCTTCGCAGACAGTATGTGAAAATCTTTGCAAATAAAAAAATTACACGACTGCTGAAAATTGATATGCACTAAAATTAAATGGACAGTTTTTTTTAATTTTTGAACTAAAAAACAACAAATCTATCGAGTTTTCCTCATTTAAACATCTTGTAAAAGATCCGAACTTCAAAATAAAAAAACATCAATATATAAAGTGGTTCTTGAGTTATCGCGTGTTCTGTATTAAAAAGTTGAGTTTTTAAATTATTGCGATTACCGACGTTTTCTCGTTATAAAAAATATGGACACCCTAACAATATCCTTATAATTCCATTTCAGATGCTCAGAAACATATCTAATGATTTTATCTAGTTATGTTTTCGAAAAAAAAGTCTTTTAAAAATAAGCGGTTCGCGATCGTGATTTTACTTTACTTGATAGGGAAAGACGTACCGGAGATTTGGCAACGTCGCAACAGCACTTACCCGTCGCATTTCTCTCACTCCGACTTAATAAGATCCCTATGCGATTTACTTCCACACATGTTAATATCGACCCAAAAGTAAGAGTTGCCGGTATGTACCAAATAACTTATTAACGTTAACTTTTTTTTCAGGTCATGACAGCTCTTTTGACCATGTTCAATTCTCATAAAACTGGAGGTGTTCAAGAAGATGCTATTATGGCTGTTTCTACTTTAACAGAGGTTTTAGGAGATGGTTTCTTAAAATACATGGACGCTTTCAAGCCGATTTTATATCTTGGCCTGAAAAATCACCAAGAGTATCAAGTAGGTGTTTATTTTTTAAAAATTATTTTTTCATTCTTTGAATTAAAAGATTTAAGGAAGGAGTATAATGCTATTCAGTTGCATGCCATTTTCAGTGTTTAATTAATTTGACACATTTGAATTTGATTTGAAATTTTGTGGATTTGTCAGTGTTTACTGCGCTTTTTTTATGTTATTTATTATTTATTCTACTACTGATAGTTGTTTAAAGGTAGTAAATCTAGAACCAAATTGTTAACAGTTACACTATTGCGATTTATCGAAAGACTAAAATAGTTGGTTGTGTAGCGTGCGGTAGATCTAGGTCAAAAATCGAGGGAAATAATGGAATAACTTTTCGCTCTAGTAAGTGACTATATAATACACATACATGTAGTAAACCGATCATTTATGAAATTCATTTAAAATTAACTAATTATTACTAATTTTTTCTTGCATTTTTGCTTTTGTTTACTACATGTCAAAGAATTTAGATACGTCAATTTGACTTACCTTCTTCAGTAGCGTGTCGGATGTTTGTGTTAATAAATAAATTATTATAACTTATCTATTTTTATTAGAATTTTATATTTTTATAACAATTTTAATAACTACCAACATTTATTCACAACGTAAAATAAAACAAATTATTGAGTCTACCCCACGTCTACCTTACATCATATTTTTACACGTTTTGAATAAAATTAGAACGGCACTGATAAACCGGAATTAAAATCGGCCATTTCCGTCGGAGTCCCGCCGGCCGGGGTCGATCTACGATTTTTGATATGCTCATTTTTTAAGCTTTTTATTAAAAGTTTTCATTACATAATTGTTTTTCTTTTCCGTTTAGGTTTGTGGCACTGCAGTGGGTCTTACTGGTGACATCTTCAGGGCGTTAAAAATTAAGGCCTTGCCTTATTGCGATGAGATCATGACACTTTTGTTAGAAAATCTTGGGGAGCCTACCGTTCATCGGAGTGTAAAGCCGCAGATCCTCTCAGTTTTTGGTGATATTGCTCTGAGCATAGGAACCGAATTTAAAAAATATTTAGACATAGTTTTAGCTACTCTAGCCCAAGCATCCCAAGCGCAGGTAAAGGCACGTTATTTCTTTCTGTTCAGATTTTTTTTATAATCAGTCACACATTTTTAAGCGATAAAGAAATACTCGTGCTTCACAAAGTTTCAAATAATTTAAATCAAAATGAAAATATTCGAAAGGTTTTTGTTTGCTACCAGTTACAAAAACATTTTCAAGAAGATAATTAAAAGATTGGTGTTTTATCAATCAACCTACTCTAGATTTCTGAAATTATCTTCTTTACATTATACTCTGATTCTAGTTATAGTATATGATAATTTTGGTGACATATCTGACAAATTTATATAAATTTGAAATATTTTTTTGTTAGATAAAGAAAGAAACACGTTGAAGCACAGGTAATCTCTCTGAAAAATAATAAATTACTTAAAAAAACTAATATTTTTTATTGGCTCTGTACAGGTTGATCGTACCGACTACGATATGATTGACTACCTAAATGAATTGAGAGAGGGCGTTCTAGATGCTTACACTGGGCTCATTCAAGGTTTAAAAGGCGACAGTAACACTCCTTCTGGCGACATTTCCCTCTTAGAACCCCACATACCGTTCATTATCCAGTTTATCACAGTTGTTGCTCAAGATTCTGAGCATTCTGATGGCACCATGGCCGTAGCTGCAGGTAGGTTCAATATATAAGTACATATAAAGCTAGTAAATAAATTTGTGTAAAGAGAGTGACGGCAACAACATGCATAATACTATAAACAACTCCACCTATAGTCTATTTCTAGAAGCTTGAGAGCACAAGACTCTTATTATAAATGGAAAAGGCGTTTTGTTGTGTACTGTGTGACATGTCAAAAGATGGGACCAATTTCATTTTAAGGGTATACGTTCTGCTGAAATTCAGACAACCACTACAATTCTATTCAGAGTTTTATTTTCTATCGAATAAAGTAGAAAAATACCGAGGGTAAATCAAAAGTTGTAGTCATTTCCGGCGAAACAGGAAGTGACCAAAAACAATTGAATACGACAATCAATCCTAATTTATGTCATACCGTGCTGGCCACTGTTACTCTTGGGTCGGTATTTACATGTGTTGAAGTAAATCGCATAGGGATCTTATTAAGTCGGAGTGAGAGATGTGTGACGGCGTGCTATTGCGGCGTTGCCGGTACGCCTTTCCCTGTCAAGTAAAGTAAAACCACGATCGCAAACCGCTTATTTTTAAAAAACTTTTTTTTCGAAAAGATAACTAGATAAAATCATTAGATATGTTTCTGAGCATCTGAAATGGAATTGTAAGGATATCGTTAGCGTGTCCATTTTTTTATAACGAGGAAACGTCAGTAATCGCGATAATTTAAAAACTCAACTTTTTAACACATAACACGCTTAAGATAACTTAAGAACCACTTTAGTATTGAAACTTTTTTTATTTTGAAGATCGGATCCTTTACAATATGTTTAAATAAGAAAAATTCGATAAGGTGGTTTTTTCATTCAAAAATTTTAAACCCATCCATTTACTTTTAGTGCAACGCAATTTTCAGCAATCGTGTAACTTTTTTATTTACAAAGATTTTCACATACTCTCTGTGAAGAAAATATAGCAGAAATGTTAAGAAAGTTTTTGAAAAAACTACAATCAATTATTTCTAATAGATTTCGAGATATCGATTTTTGAATTCAGAGTTCTAATAGCGCAATCACTGTCTAACACCATCTCAATTCCACTTATTTTTACTAAAAATGCAAGTGTTTCTAACTTGCACTTAAAAATTTTGAAGCTATAGGGAAAATTACAACGACTCGTTAATAAATAAACAAATAAAGTATCACGAGACATAATTAAATCGTGAAGCTGAAAGCATGATGTACACCTTTCCCTAGAACTTTAAGTACTAACAGAAGTATTGATTGGGTCGACCAGCGACAAATCTGATCCCCTTCCACGTCTCTTAGCAATGTGCACAGTTTCTCGATTTATTTCATACGTTTGGCAACGTGTTTACTGTTTTCTCTTTGTTCAGTACATTATAAACGCATTGTACTCTTCTTACATACGGAAATCTCGATCCAAGACTAACCTTTGCCAGCCCTTAGTATACTAACATACCAAATTTCGTTTTTTTATCTAAAAAAAAAGTTATAGAGCCACTTTTGAGACGCACCCCGTATACTCAGGTGAAGTTGTATATTTTCTTTCATACAGCTAGTACAGAACTACAATTGGCGTTGACTATTTCTAGGTCATTGATTGACATGAAAGTTTTTAACCCCTATAAACTAACCTTTATAGGGGTATTACTTGTATGGTTAATATGTTTGGATTTAAAAGTAAAATTACTTATAGTTTGGCAACTTCAAACTTATAACATTTGTTTTTGAATATAAAATGTTTATAGAGGCGAACTTTGCATTTGAATTAGAATGTCACAACTGCCCAAAACAATAAAAACTATTAGTAAATTTTCCCGTTACCACGAAACTGAATTAACTAATGGGTTATTTTTATTTACAGGCATTATTGGTGATTTATGTGTATGTTTTGGAGCACCCATGCTCCCTCTGCTAGATTTGGAACCGATCAATGAGATGTTGTCTCAAGGTAGAAGATCGAGGGTTCAACGCACAAAAGGCCTGTGTAATTGGGCAACTAAAGAACTGAGGAAGTTGAAGAGTCAGCAGGGTGGCCAGACCACGGCTCCTGCGGCTAGTTGGTAAGAATAATTCTTTCTTATTAGCTTATAGTGAGTACAAGACAGTTGAATTGTGTAATTATAATAGCGTGTTGCATTAATATTTTCTTGGTGTAATATGGTTGATTTATTAAGTTTCATGTTAAGTAGATTTAATTAGGGCATTCAATCCCGGACGAAATTTTCAATCCCATTATTTCGGGATTATGTTATTATTTATGAAAAAATCTAGTAATTTTTTGTATTTATGTGTTTTGCAGTCAAAAGATGGTATCGATTTATATTTAAAAATATTGTAAGATAATTTTTTATAGTTGTTATTTTGTTATCATCTATCAGGAATTGCTTTTATACTTATAGTTACAATTGATCATTCACAATAAATGCTCTTATTGTTCTTGACATGCTTCACTGATTTACTAGTGATTTTTTATTCAATAGGAAACTAGTAGAAGTGCAACAAAAGTTCTTTTGATAATGTTAAAATAGTAAGTTTGTGATGTGTATTTATTTTAAATTGTTTGGTATTCGTGTTTTTTAGTGTCTGCTAGATGCATATTTACCTTAAATTGTTTAATAATTATACCGTTAACTATAGAAAGCTTAAGCTATGGACTGATGTTACTAAATTGAGCATGTTTAATAGGTTTTAGCATGGTGTTAAATTCCAATGGCGTTACATTTAGTATAAAATAAATTTAGTATTTTAGTGTACAAAATTATATTATTAGTGATCACAACATGGACTAAAGATGACTAGCTGCAATGAATAAGCTGTGATTCCGGATTCTATATTCTATTGGAAAAATTACAAATTATTGGTTTTCAAGTTCACTTCGCACTTGAAAATTAACCAAGGCGTGTGTTGACATGCGTGAAAAAAACAAAATACTCAAAAGACATGGTTCTGGGCGAAAAATAGCGTTTTAGGAAAATTTGCTGACAAAATTATTCCTCGGTGTTTTAAAGTTAGGGTAAAAAACGCCCCTTCGATTAACCCTGTATAATAAGCAAATACTAGAGTTTATATACCCAGTTTATAAGTTAAAGTTGATATATTTATATACAGTTTGCTAAAAATATCATGAAAATTGGTCTAAAATTACACAACACCAATTTGACAAAAAAAAAATTTGTTGCGTTTTTTGTACCTGAGAGCATATTTAAGAAGTTTTTAATAGTTTAGTTTATTTAATGAATATTTATGCTTATTTAATTTCTTGATACAAGCTTGAAAACGTTGATTATTAGCCCACGGCCACACAGAAAGCGTTTTTTGCGTTTTTAGCGTGAAGCGTCTTTTGCGACTAAAACAAAATAGCAAGATTATATGCAGTGGCCCCACCAAAAGCGTGTAGCGTTCGGCGTGTCTCAAAAAACCCAAATGAAAACAAATCAGTTTGTTTTCTGTAATGTTTTAGCGATTTCTAAGATGAGACCCCGTCATAGGCGGACGTAACATTTAATAATACAATAAAAATAAATTAAATAGTATGCATTTTTTTAGAGTATTATCTCAAAATATTTTTATAGAGAACATTTACTGTTTAGGAAGATTCTATTAAATTCAAAAATTTTAAGGAAATGTTGGAAAAGTGTAGTTTGAAATGTTGAAAAAGTAATAAATTAAAGGATTATTTTTTTACACGTAAAAAATAGTTTTTATCGTAAAAAGTGTTTAGTTAGGTTAGTTTTTTGGCGTAAATTTTTTTTACCAGAAACAATAAGTTTCTTACATATAAAAAATTATTTTTTTTGCGTAAAAATGGTTTTCTGCCAGTAATAATAGTTTTATACGCGTAACGGGCAATAAATAGTTTTGTACGCGTAAAAAGTAGTTTTTGGTTTGGTTTGTAACAGTTTTATTCGCGTATAATAAAAAAAAAATAAAAATAGTTTTTTAGGTGTAACAAATGCTTTTTTACACGTAATAATTTGATTCACTTTTACAAAAGTTGTATTAAAATATCAATATTTTTGATAAACACGTGGACTGCTCACAAAAAATATACTACGTTGCGTCGCTGTGTATTTCTAAGCCGTTAACACGTTTCGTTACAACTAGCTCGTATGTCACGGTTTTGAATTTTTCTTCCCAGCGCGCGTAACTTCAAAAAGTTTCATAAATCATGTCCTAAAATTGCGTTAACAGCGTTAGTAATAATTACTATTCTATTATATAATTATAATTATTTATTATATTATAATTATAACACACAAGTAACCACAAAACTACAACATAAAAAATATACACACAAATAAACTAAAATTCGTAAAATAAATGGCAAATAATAATTATTATTTTTACACACACCACCGGCACTATCAGCAGATTACTTTTGCCGCCAAATATATGCCCCGGCCCGTTCAACGATCGATCCGAGCATATCTTTATCTTAGTCTCTTCAACGCTAACCGCGCCGATCTCGCCTATCTCTTTCTCATAGGATTGATTGTTGAACGGGCCGGGAATCCACGAGCTTGCGACGTTACTAATTGACATCTTGATAGAAACTGCAGACCTGTCGCGCCGCTTCTTTTGCGTGTTTTTAATGGAAACGAATAAAAAAACGCTTCAAAAGGTAAAATCGCAAAGGCGCTTGACACGCAAAAAACGCAAAACGCTAAAAACGCTTTCTGTGTGGCCGTGTGCTTATTGTTATACCGCAGTTTTAAGCTCATCGTTAAACTTAATTGACTGTTGTAGAACTCTTTATGCATTAACGTCCATTTTTTCAGATTCTGTAATCTCCCAGTTCCAATATTATCTACCATTGGCAGCGATGATCATGGTAGAACTAAAGTCGATGGACTAACAATGGATGCTGCAAATTCCGGTATTTTTTCGCTAAAATCCATACCGCGAGTGCCAGAATCGTATCGAAAAATAAACGGTTTCTTTCTTTTATAATTTGCCAATTTTTTGATCGTGTACTATTTCTATTTAGAAGTTTTTCGTCTGCTTTATTTGTCGTAGAGAAATTCATGTTTTATGGGATTTTTTTTTCTAAAGTTTGTAATTGTCGTTTTGAGTTGAACAAAATAATCGAGCTGGGCTTTTTCAAACTATGTAAAATATCGTTTTAAAATAAAAACAAACATTTAATTATAAAATTATGTTTATGTACTAAAAAATCCTTTTTCCATTTTAATTGTGTTGTTTCAAAACAAAACGATTATTATTTTTTTATTTGTTAGCAATAAAACTGGGTCCGATTTTTTTTTAAATATTGTTTTTAACTTATTGAAGTAATATTATGTATTTAATTTGAATTTTATAGTTATTTTAATTGTAATTATTAAAGACCCGGTTTTAACAGGGCAACCATCCATAAAAAATGGTACGAATTTTATTGTTGGTTGCTATACATATTTTTTCTCTTCTCGAAGAAAATCCTCAAAAAATCTATTCCATTTTTCATTGAGTAAAAAGCTCAGGTACATATGTGGTGAGGAGAGGTTAACTGCGCGTGATGAAGGTGTGTAAATAGGTAAGTCGACGGTAAGTTTTGGTGAACGTTCATTTGAGTCAAGGCTGTGACTGGCGCCTTGCCTGAATGGATAAGTGGGGGATGTTTGGATGTCGGCGATTTTTCCGATGCGCGGAAAATCAAGTTCGGTTCTCTGCGCATCGGAACGTGGCCGACGTGGCGCGTGATTTCAATTTAAGTCGGCGCTTTTTATACAAAGCGTCGGCTTGGGGCGGGAAAATAACTTAAAAAAATCAAGAATCTGTGATTTGGACGGGTTTCTGTAAAACGTTGCCAAAATTAGAGTAATACGAAAATTCCATTACCATTTTTTACAATAATGTAAATTGATACAAAGAAACCCTTCCAAGATAAAAGTAATTATAATTGTAAGAAATTGTAATTACTGATTCCTCGTATGTATGTGATATATAAGGCTGCGGTGGTTACAGTTGAGAAAATTGCCCAAAGATATCAAAGTGGTTTATGAGATGATTTACTGAAAATATTGCGTATTTATTTTCTTTATTAAAACCTAAATCTTATAGAAGGTTATCTTATTTTATATTAATTATTTTTGCATTAAAATAATATCAGGTATACTACACTTACCGGCACGAAAAACGGGCACGTTAAAATGTTGATAAATTTTAAAATTTAATATATTTTGTTCAAGTGGGCCGATTTTGATGAGTTTTTTAAGCAATATGCAGCTAAATTATTCGACTTCTTAGTATGTCTTTCTAAATCAAAAATAAAAGTTCCCATCTGTCAATTATACGAGGGAAAACAAAATGTTGATATTTTGGTGAAAGTTTGAACACCCTGTGGAATATGTTAAGACAGCAAGGGATTTAATTAAAAAAATTTATCTTCCTCAATAGTTTGCTTTTTGGTTCATCTCAACAGCTTTATTTTTGTTGGAGATATTCGCTTTTGAAAAAGAAACTAACATTTTTTCGTCATTTTTACATTAAACCTTCCCTTTGTTTTTAGGTTCTAGTGAACAAACCTGTTGTGGTCTCGAAGTAGGCCTTCTTGACATAAGATCTGTTTCGTTTAATCTTCTTTTTAGAGTCCGTTCACTAACATGTACGTTCCTTAGGTGCAATTCATTATAAATTTGAAAAGCTTGCAAACGGAGGTTTCTTAGCGATAAACTTACAATAAGTCGATGGTGTCGATTGAAAGTTCTCATATGAAGGTTCCTGGATGTCGGGCCTATGAACTTGTCTAGAGCAAGCCACTGCACCACAGTGAAGTATACTTCGTGCACACCTAAATCTGTTAGGAACATAATTTTGCTCTCTACCATCTTCAATTAAAACAACTATAGCGGATACAACTTGGACTTAAAACCATCTCTGCCAGAGTAACTGCTCAACAGCCAATAGACAATAATTTTCAATAACAGTGGCTTACATAAATTATAAAAAATATTGCATAGACTGGGACGAAAAGCAAATGCATGGTTTTAATGTAAAAATTACGTAAAAATATTAGTGTCTTTTTCAGAGGCGAATATCTCCAAGAAACTAGAGTATTGGAAAGAACAAAAAAATAAACTATCTACAAAAGATGCATCTAGATGATAAAATGATTTTTAAATGCCTTGCTTTTTTTCGCATATTCCACAGAATGTCTCAAACTTTCACCAATATAACATTTTGTGTTTCCTCTTATAATCGACAGCCGGGACTTTCATTTTTAAATTAGAAAGAGATACTAAAATGTCAAATAATTTAGCCACAAATTGCTAAAAGATTATAAAAATCAGTCCACTAGAATAAAATATATAAAGCTTCAAAATACATCAAAATTTTAAGGGTCCGTTTTTCGCACCGGTGCGCGGTGAGTGTATAATACTTACGTATACAGGGTGTTTCAAAACAAATGCGAAAAACTTCAGGGGGTGATTCCTGTTTCAAAATAAAGGGTAGTTTGCTTCATAAACGTTGGGTCAAAAGTCAACCATTAGGGAGATATCGTGGTACAAAGATGGCGGAAAAATAATGTTTTTATTTTTTATCTTGAAAACGAAAAGAGATAGACTAATAAAAATTTATGGAAGCATTACTGTTATGAAAACACACTTTCTGGTAATTTTTTCACTTTTTTAAAATGAGTGGAAGGGGTTGAAATAAACTACCCGTATCATTCTTGTTAACGAAATTTAAAGAAAAATCTTATCAAAAAAAAAATCTTAATTTGGATAGTTTAGTTTGTTTAGAAACTTTTTTATCTCTTGTATTTTTTTGATAAAACTCACCGATTTGAAATTAAAAAATAAAATGTAAAGCATTGCATGCCAGGACAAAAAACATTTTCTGATAAAGAATCTACTGGGCTGCTGTAATTTTTTTAGGAAAAAATCTAGTCGGCCGCTGTTACTTTTTAGGATGTTCCTAATATTATTTTATTTGACATTACTCTACTGCAATACGTTAATATCTAGATGATTATTATTATCGTTATTATCACTAGATTCTTAATCTAAAAATGTTTTTTGTCCTGACATATAATGCTTTACATTTTATTTTTTTATTTCCAATCGGTGAGTTTTATCAAAAAAACACAAGAGGTAAAAAAGTTTCTAAACAAACTAAACTATCCAAATTAATTTGCATGTGTTTGATAAGATTTTTCTTTAAATTTCGTTAACATGAATGATAAGGGTAGTTTATTTCAATCCCTTCCACTCATTTTAAAAAAGTAAAAAAATTACCTGAAAGTGTGTTTTCATAACAGTAATGCTTCCATAAAATTTCATTAGTCTATCTCTTTTCGTTTTCAAGATAAAAAATAAAAACATTATTTTTCCGCCATCTTTGTACCGCGATATCTCCCTAATGGTTGACTTTTGACCCAACGTTTATAAAGCAAACTACCCTTTATTTTGAACAAGGAATCACCCCCTAAAGTTTTTCGCATTTGTTTTGAAACACCCTGTATAATGGAAAATAACCATCCATATACTTACGTATATTGTACATGTACATTCCTTAATATTTTTTTAAATTTTTTATGCAACAATTAAATTAATAGTGAATTTAAAAATAATTAAGTTTTAAAAAAGTTTTGGAGTATCAGAACTATATCATATCATAATTTTTAAATCATCACTTACAGTTCATATTAAATACAAATTTACTTTTCTTTGTATGGAATTTTGAGCTTTGTTGGATAACTGACACAAGATTTCTAAATATTTAATAAAATACGGAATATGAATCTAGATTGAAAGTAGAAACCAAAGATAATTCACAAAAGAGATTTTTTTCATCTACACATTTATTTTTTTGTTTGAACTTTATCAGTAATTTACATTGTTGGTTTTTATTGTAGGAAAATTATTTCGGCTGTGAATATAAGGGCCTGTTATTTACTCTTATTTCAATTTTAAAAGTCCAATTTTAACATATCTCGAACGAAGAGGGACTTATGAACTTTTCAGTAAATCGGTAACGTAAAAAACAACGTAAAGGTACAAAACAATTCACATTCCATTATAAGAGTATCGCAATCGAAAACAATTACAAAAGAAACTAATCAAGCCGCGTTGGCTCTATTTTTTTACTTTTTTACCGACTTAGGGCATAGAAGATTCTCGACTCCAACCGCGGCTGTTTAAAAAAGGCTGTATGAAACTTAGTATGTAAGCATGTATGAGTCGTTATTTTGTATGTAAGTTTGTAAGTATATTTTTGAACTTTTTTTTTTAATTTAGATCTATAAGGAGTTTTTCCACGCGACAAGAATGCAGGGCCTAAAATATTATCGTTATCATTTTTAACAGGCGTAATTTTGATGGCGATTTGGATATTATCGATTCTATTCGGAAACTGTTGAATTTTTTTAATACAGAACAAATAATTTGATCTACTTTTGAAATTGCCTTTATTGATCCCTATGACAATATATTTGATTTAAACATTTTTATCAATCAAAATCGTTTTTAATTCAAAATATGGCTATAACGTAATTTCTAATAAAAATTAAAAAGGTTTAAATGTTAATAAATGATATAGGTATACCGATTTGGTTATCGAAACGTCGCGGTCTGGATTTTAACGTGTAAGACAGCGATGACAGCTCAATGGAAAATCAAATGTATTAAAAAGAGATAAAAATTGGATCGATACATTTCTTCTATGCGGTATTGCCGGATTTTGCATTAAAATTTCAAACCAGTACAAGTAGGCGTTTACGAAAAATCTTGCATCTAGAGTTGGATCTTTATTTTTCACTATTAGTTACTCATTTTACTACAGCTGTAATAGATTATATTTAGCTTAGATATATTTCCTTAATTTCAGTAGTATACATGAAAGTTTTTAAAATAGCATATATTTTTCTACACACATTTTCTTAAAACGTAAAAAAACGGCAACACTGTATGCCGTTTTTTATTCTGCCTCTGTCAACCGGTCATTTATCAATTCAATCTCTTTCACACACATTAAAATCCAGACCACATAGTTTCGATGACCAGCAGGATACATCATACCAAATAAACTTTTAGTCACGTGATTAAGCTTGACTGACACACAGCGTTGCCAAGATTTACCTATTTTCTTTTAATCAAAATATCTTAGGAAACAATGAATTAATTATAAATA